AAGATGAGATCTTGTTGGCACTTGAGGATCTCAAAGCCGTTGCCGTGCGAGAGGTTGTCTAGCACGTAGAGCTGCTGCTTCTTCCCCCGAGGACTCACCACCAACACGTGCGAACAAACTTGCCTGCTGCCACGTCAGCTCGGGAATCATGCGCAGCAGCTCGACCGGCTGCTGGGGAGGAGGAGGAGGTTGCTTCCTTGGACGAAGACGCCCAACTCCTCGTGGGGGATGGGAAGATCGACTGAGACAAGAGGGCAAGTGAGGATGAGCAGCAACAAGACGTGCGGGAGGCACCAGGACAGGAGGAGACAGAAGGCTCCTCGAGCCGCTCCAAGTCGACGAGCGAGACGGAGGAGAGAGCAAGCGAGCCCGTCTCTGAGTCCTCCGGGATGACGACGAGGAAGTTCTGCATAAGGAATGAGAAGGAGGGGCAGGGGCAGGAGATGGCAACCTCAAGGATGTGAAGCTGGCAGCGCATCTGCTGAGGGAGAGGAGAACCTTGAAACTTGACGCGCCTGCGACAGGAGCTGAGCCAAGAGGCACGAGAGCAGAGCAGAGCAGAGGGAGAGAGGGAGGGAGGGAGGGAGGGAGAGGGAGAGAGGGAGAGGGAGAAGGAGAGGGAGGACGGTCATGCCTGATGGCTGCCTGCTTGTTGGGCACGAGCAGCACGCCTGTGAAGTCGAGCTCCATCCTGTTGGATTTCATCGAGGGAAGAGAGGAGAGAAGGAGGAGAGACCTCTCGTTGTGAGGGAAGAGGAGGATGTGCTCTTCCATCGCCTTCCACACGTATCCGCATCTCCTTCCTGCCTCCTCCTCCTCCTCCAGACTCTCCGACAGGCTCCACGTACTCCACGTCTGAGTGTCCAGCGCCCATGCACCCTCCAGCTGCCAGGTCTGGGAGCGAGTGAGAATGCGAGGAGACAGAGGGGAAGGGTGCGAGGTAAGGGAGGAGAGAAGAGGGAAAGGGAAGGGAGAGGAGGAGAGAGAAGGGGAAGGGAGGGGAGAGGAGGAGAGAGAAGGGAAAGGGAGGGAAGAGGAGGGGTAAGGGTCAACCAGGTCGTCGTGGACAGGGAAAAAGAAGATGGTGGACAGGAGGCTGACGAAGGAGAACTTGGAGGGAGGAGGAGGAGGAAGAGACGAAGAAATCATCTCGTTGCCGCAGACTCTCAACGTGAGGGATCGGACGTTGAGGACACAAGCGCTGCTGATGTCGAAGTTGCGCTCGCCTGGCAGCAGCCACGTCATCGAGTCGGTCGCATCAAAGGAAGCGAGACCGTCGTGAGGGAAGATAAAGCAGAGCTCCTCCACCACCTCGCAGTGACAGTAGCAGGGATGCGGCGTGTCCAGCTCGACGTAGCAGCCCTAGAGGCGAGGAGACGGTACGGAGTCAGAGAGCAACAAGTTGACGATCAAAGGAACGAGAAGAGACCGGTAGAGGAGAGGAAAAGGGGAAGAGATGGGAGGAGAGGAGAGGAGAGGAGAGGAGAGGAGAGGAGGAGAGGAGGAGGAGGAGGAGGAGAGGA